CCCCAAAACCCCAAAACCCCAAAACCCCAAAACCCCTTGTTTAAATTTTACAAAGATACCGAATTAATTTGAAAATAAGAAAAAATTCCGATAATTGTGGTAAATATATCATCAGTAATTAACTGTCTTTAAAAGGAATTACTCGAGTTAAATATGAAAGATACGGGTAAATCCCTCTATAGACTAGGGTAATCAGCTCTATAAAAGGGAAATTAACTATATAATTTCATAAAAGTAAATACACAACAAGAAATCAATAAACTCACCAGAAAGGAATAAAAAGATTGAAGCTCATTATGAAATACTAAAGTCAACTAAAGAAAGTGGGAACCATTGCTGCCCTCGGAGCAGTAGCAGCCTTCGCTGTTATCAACTTATCAGAAAATATCTACGATAGTAATTAGAATCATGTGTTTTTGCAAGAGCATAATGATGACCAAGATGTCAAGAAAGAATTTAGCAAATTCCTTAACAATTTCAACAAAAATTATATTACCAAAGAAGAATATAGAGCAAGATACGAAATATACGCAGCAAACTACGCTTTAGTAAATAGTCATAATAATAGGAACGATTCAACATTTGAACTTGAATTAAACTTGTTTGCTGATCTGAGTCCAGAGGAATTCAAGTCAATGTAAAAGTTGACTGTATCTAAAGATATTATTCATTCAAATACCTAAAATGAAAATAGTGATAATGGATAAGGAAATGAAGATGGTAGTAGGGACCATATTCCAGAACCATAGCAAGGAGCAAATGATGTAATAATAGAAAATGAGATTAGATAAGATGAAGAGATAGATCAAGTAGAAAATGAGGAGCAAAGTAACACTCAAGATGATGGAAACAGAAGAAGACTTGCAGTCTTACCATCAGCTGTTGATTGGAGAACTTCAGGTTTTGTAAGCTCAATAAAAAATCAAGGATTATGCGGTTCATGCTATACATTTTCATCATTAGCAGCATTGGAAAGTATTTATAAAATAAAGAAGGGTGGAAATTTATTAGACTTATCCGAGCAATAATTGATTGATTGCACAACAGTTTATGGTAATTTTGGATGCAATGGGGGTAATATGAATTCTAATTTTCAGTATCTTAGATATTACAAAATCTAAAATGAGACAACATACCCATATGCAACTCGTAAAAATGCCTGCGTGTATCAGCCTAAATTCGGACTATTCAATGTTAAGACCTTCGTCAATGTTGCTTTTAATGACCCTGCAGCTCATTTAGCAGCAGTAGCTTTATAACCATTGTCAATTGGATTAGCAGCTTCAAATAGCGTATTCTAACTGTATAAATCTGGAATAATTGACTCCCCTACTTGTGGTACATCAGTTGATCATGCTGTTTTACTGATAGGTTATGGAAAAGATTTGACTGGCGTATCTTATTGGATTATTAAAAACTCTTGGGGAGTCTACTGGGGTGAAAGAGGCTATGCAAGAATTAGAAGAGATACAACAAAAGGACCAGGAATGTGTGGATTACTCTAGATGAGTTCATATCCAGTATTGTATTGAAAAATTGGAAGATGGGGTGATAAGGCTTATATATGAATCACTCTTGAAAGAATAAAATCAAATTAATACTATCTTATGGAGAGATATTTTAAATTCTGGACATTAATCGAATCTTTCATAAAATTTAAATTTTAACCTTTTCTGTTCTATTATTAATATCAAACTAGGTATCATGGGGTTTTGGGGTTTTGGGG